GCATTGTGGCACAAGCGCATATTTTTTCAAATGGTGAAATTTTCATGAAAGAGCAATTTGATGAAGGCTTATCTTGAGCAATGTTTTTTTTCTTTCCTTATGCGATTTTTTGAAGTTGCTGTTTCTACCCAAAAGGAAACAGGCTTTTCGTCTTCCTGGTGTCACAAACAATAACTTCATCGATTTAAGTCTAAGACCGGCTTAAATTCGGGGACTTAAACCAGACTACGAAAATACTTAAGCTGATGATTTGTTTACTTTTTGAAAGTTGTTCCATCATTGTTAGAGTTCCATCCGCACGCTATACGGCTCTATAACATATCTTTTGAAGGAAACAAATTAGAATGAAGTAGTGCTTTATGAGAATTTAGTTGTTGAAAGTAAGACTCTCTTTAGTGAAATAAGAAAAAGCTTATTAATCGCTAACGTTTTAAATAATTAATATAATTCTGTACTATTCCAAGCGGTCTGAAAGTCTGATCCACCTGTTACTAGCACTTTTCCATTTGTTAATAAATAATGCTGCATGCCAAAATCATTCATTGTTCATGCTGACAGTGGTTGTCCATATTTCCGTTCATGGATCATACAACTCAGCACTGCTTAAGTCACCCATACCCGCTCCACCAGTAACTAGTACTTTGCCATTTGTTAAGACAGTTGCTGTTTGCCAGTATCGTTCATTATTCAGATAGCCTATTGTTGTCCAAGTTCCTGTCGATGGATTAAATAGCTCATCACTATTTAGAAGCCCGTAGGTACCTCCTATTCCAGCCGAAACTAACGCTTTTTCGTTCTCTAATACAGGCGCTCTGTGACTAGATTGTGCGTCATTCATGTTACCAGTCGCTGTCCAGGGTCCTGTTGATGGATCATACAACTCAGCACTCGTTGTGTGAATATTTGCATGATTAGCATCGTTACCAATAACTCCACCGGTAAGTAACACTTTTCCATTCGTTAATACGGATGCTGTGTTCTAATATCGTGCAGTATTCATGCTACCAGTTGTATTCCACTTTCCTGTTGATGGATCATACAGTTCAGCACCCGTTCCATCGACAACTAATACTTTCCCATTTGTTATATAGTAGAATATGTGGCCCTATGAGACCTTTGGAACATCGAAAACATTATTTTGTTCGATTCTGCTCAAACACACATCAGCAGGTGGAGAATTCGACGCTGATTCCAAATATCACCTTGGTTTGATCTGCAACGTTACCAGAAAGAATTAAACGAGATTTTGGAAGAATGTTATTCTCGGGTGCTTTGCCGTCACTTGGCGCAGCAATTGGTTCCGAAAACCTAAAATACACTCGGTCGAGTGCAGAATTATTTTCCATCGAAATAATGTCAAATGAATCCTTGGCTCAACCAACGACAATACTCCGAATATCCGTAAGTCTTTTTTCAGTTCTTAGCCTTAATAGTATACGAAATGCAATTCCGAACGGTTCATTTGGCATTATTCGATGGAGAAAATAGGCCGCAAATTTTAGGTGAAAAGTGAAAGTGACTTTTCGACAGAAAAAAGTGTGTCATTTACTCGAAATTTGATGCTGATTCAGAAAACGTATATCTTTTTTGAAAAAGGTTTAGGCGGAGAACTGGCCTCATCGCAACTATTCCATTGTTATTAAGTAGGTTATCCTTATTGTTTGCGTATAAGTTTATTGAGACTAGAGTAAAAACGGAAGCGCTGACAGTTGAGCAATGAAGTGTGTTAGTTAGATATTTAAAAACAAACAGAAAAAAGTTTTATCCCTTTCTACAGAAACAAAATGTACTATCTAAATCACATTGTGCTCGTATAAATAAAATACATAAAAAAAAATGCACCCGTATAAAAGATCACTATTGTGTTTAATACAATGTCATTTACTTTTTCTGTCCATTAGCTTCTTCTTTACAAAAAATTGCAATACCAACAACGTACAGATTGATATTGATGCTACCAATTCACACGATTCCCGCGCCACACTGAACGAACGTGCCGTTACCATATACAATTTATCCTTCTTATCCTCAGCCAGTTGTTCATGGGCATACACGAAATATTCACAGGCAATCGTGAGTGTTGAAAAGACGATGAGAAGCCAGAACGAGAGACGACAGAGTTTGGCATATTTCAACTCGAGCATGGCTGTATAAGACTGAGCAATGAATTCATACAGGATAAAGAACGCCACGGAATTCGTTGTGATGACTTCATGTTTACCGAAGACAGGTATAAAGATGATCATCAGTTGTGACAGGTAGGCCATGAAATGAAAGAGAGTTTCAATTGTGACTGGCAAACGTGTTGTGTACTGGCAATATTTGAAGTAAGTGATTGCGGAGATGAATACGGTATCGAGGACACAGTAGACAACGAAGATCCACATGACAATTAGACGATCGCTGACATAGCGATGGTAGTAAATGACGTAGACGATGTCACCGGAGAACATGAGCGACCAGATGGTAAATTGGTAGAGTAGATAGAGTCGAGGATGTGTGAAATTGAATCGAACATTGTATTGGAGGTAGTAGAAGAGAATCAATATGGTGGAGAGTAGACCGGCATAATTATGTTGATGTTCCTTATCCTCATTATGAAAGATCAGGAAGAGAACGGCATCGATAAGTAATGCAATAGCTGAGACGACGGGTAATACTATGCCTAAACACAATAGACTTTAAGAGGTGGTGTTTGGTTTCCATTGGTTTCCATTCGGGTGTGGCAGTAGAAAATTTTCCGCTTGGAATTGGACCAAAACATTATGGTCGGCTAAAACTTTTCTTGACAGTTGTGGATGATAACAATTATTTAGGTGTAGCAATTGCCCCTTATTGCCTCGCTGGTGTCCCGCCCATGACTTCACTCTCCATTCCTGGCTAACTCGCAAAACAGGAATAAGAACTAAGCTACCACCAGGAGAAGCCATGACTCGTCTGATGACTACTTCATTGAGACGACTTTCGCTCTCCTCAACATTCCTGCAGATTTGCAAAGGTATTCACTCCTGTCAACCGATCCTTCTAAATAAAAGCAGAAGTAACTAACCTAATATATTTGTTACCCGGTCATCATGTATTGATTCAGTTGTCGTATCGGTGACTAGTTCCTCGACGTCAGTTATTGAACCTGCTTTTTCTTCCTGTTGTTGTTGTTGCACTTGTGGCTGTGGTAACAACTGTACACGTACATTTCCATCATCTAACTGTTGTTGTTTCAGATCATTACTTTCGTCTGTTTGTTCAACACGTACAGACGTTGGTTGTTTCACTGTTAACTTCTCATAGTTATCGAATAGTCGTTGAATATTTACATTTTGTTTGACCAATTTTTCTTCTAATTCTTTATTCACATTTTCTAATCGATCAATTTTAGTTTGCAGAGAATGTATTGGTAGAGTCGAGAGATACTTTCATTTATTCTGCGGAGGGGGTGCAACATGCTAAAATAACGGTGACCTACTTCTCTTTTTGTGTATGAAGGAGTGTTGTAACAGCAGCTGGAAAATTATTCTCTTTTTGTGCAGTACAAAGTCTTTTTTGTGCAAAAAAAGTTAAGAAATGTGTAATCCCTCTCTTGGTACGTGCACGTTCTTTACATGTGAATATATATCAGTAACAGAACAACATATTTCTTCTTTCTACGCAATCTGAAAAACTTCTTTATTTTTTCTCTCTCTTTCTTTCGTAACTGTGACACAAGGAAAAATACTTGTTTTTTGTGTGGAAGAACGAACGAAAAGGTGAAGCAGTATATGTTAGGTTGAAAAAAAAACCACACACACACAGTTATGTGCAAAGAAACAGCTGTCCAGATATAAGTAACGCGGCAAATGTCATGAAAAAAATATCTGAATGTTCATCTTCAACGTAGAGATCCCGTTCCGTATATTTCACGTAGACGTACTACTTTTAAACAAACAACTTTAGATTCTGCCCGTGCAAATAATTCATTCTTTCCTTATACTTTAAAAAAATGGTCAACACTTCCTGACCATATAAAATATAGTTCTTTCAAAACTTTTCGTACGCACATTGCTATGTGTTACAATGTTAAAACATCTCATTATCGTGTTTACAATATTGATCGTTTCAGTGACGTTCTTTTTAACAGAATCCGCACTAATTTTTCCACGCTTAACGATGACTTATTATATATAATATATAATTTATGCAGATCTAATACTTGTGCATGTGGATGTGTAGAAACAGTTCAGCACTACTTTCTACATTATGTGTTATACCGTTCATCGCATTCTGTCTTACAGCAAAAGCTCTCGACATAGAACCGCCTCTTCTCATAACACTTAATCTTTTGTTACTAAAATTTTCCTATCTAGAGACCAATATCTACTCATCTATACTAGTGCTATCGAGTATATTGTATCTACCAAACGATTCCACAAGCAAGGAAAGTACTATTATTATAAAAATTTTGTTATATATAGCTTTACGTCTTTCCTTTTCTGTTTTATAGTTATCGCGTCTTCTCTCATTTTTTTGTTTTGTTATTCTTTTCATTGTATTCATTTTCTTTTTCTTTTTGGTTACATCCTTCTGTATTTAGTTAAAAGAGTTATTTATTTATTTCGGCGGACACCCCAATAATAATGGAGCTCTTGCTCTCTTCCTCTGAGACATTAGCTCTCTTTTGATGTGTGTTCGATCTGATAAGTTTCAAAAAGAAAAACAAAGTGGTCTGTGACATGTGACTTGTCGATAGCTGCTTCAATTTAGTCACGTTACGACTCCTCGAAAAAATGATCCGATCAAGCTGAACATTTTAGCATTGGATACTTTAGACCCGATCTCAGGTTCGAAATCTTTTTAAGAGTTTTCGATTTCAACTTTCGGCATCAGAACTTTTTCAAAATAAAAAGCCAATTTTTTATATAAAATGTTTAGTACTTTTCGAATATCTCGAGAAGGAAAGCATATTTGTCGAAGCATAAAAGGCACATCTTCTAATTCGATTTTCAACGCTGAATTAGAAAAAAGCTGTTCAAAATAAAAAGGACAAAAAGTGTTCAACTTTTTTCGAAACGGGAAAGTTTTTCGGCTTTTGAGACCCTTCCCGTATTTTCTATTTTTCGACGCGCAAACGTGCGCTGGGAAGGCGATATTTGTGATCAGCTTCGAATTCTCTATCGAATCATATATAAAGAAGCTAAAAATAAAATAGTACTTGATTTTTTGAATTATGCGCGCCTTAACTCTATCAAGAAAAGTAGTTAAGAGCTCAACTTTCTCTCTTTGGCTCTTATATATGTCTGTGATAATCATAAACAGTTGCAGCTTTACAACTCATTCCATTCCTGAGTTATTGAATTTTTCATCAGAACCAAGTAATTTTCTATAGAACCGGGGCCAAAAACCGGATGAACAAGAGGAAGATGACAGAAGACAATAATAATAATACTGGGCGGATAAATAAAAAACGATATAAGTTTGATATCTACGACTACCTGTGACTATGGTTGCATGCTGTATAACATTATTTAAATAAGGTCAAGTGAATTTTTAGTTTATACCTAGAAATACATTATTTAACACATTGTAATAAATCCTAGGGGGAAAGAGCTGACTGAAATCAACCCAAAATCAGTCGAAAATCACCGGAAATCAATTGATTTTCAGTGATCCACTGTAATTCTCTGTGCTTTTCAATGACTTCCAGTCATTTCCGATGACTTTTCATTTGGTGAAAATCGATGAAAATCAGCAAAATCGGAAAAATCCCAAAACTAGCTGTTTCTCCCTTGGATAAATCTCACTTATCCCAAAAGTACCTGTTTCTCACTTATCGTTTTCCTGCATTCGCTTTTTTTCTAGAAACATTTATTCACTTTTCTGTTTTCCGAAGGGAAAAAGTCCTCTCCTGTTCCTGTTTTGAAAGTAGACAGTATGAACCCTGTGAACTGGAAAAGTAACTTACTGAGAATGGTCATTTACATACAAATATATATACATGCCTAGGTACGTACTATTTTCTGATATATCAGTCGTTAGACTGTATATATTTCAAGAAACTAGCACTCACCGACTGATGTGATTTTTCTTTGTCAGAACACTCGGTTTCTTATTTTACTTTTATTTTTGCATCATATATTTCTCAGGAAAATGACCTAGATCATTTCTTCGTCCGGTCTCGGTTTCCAAATTTACGCCGGTTGTTGTACTGACCAACGCAACCTCAGAAAATAGTACCTCGGCATGTATACATATTTGTATATAAATAGCATCGTATCATTCTCAGTAAGTTACTTTTCAAGTTCAGATCATATAGATCAGAGCAGAAAAGTGACTTAGCTACAATGCCAGCGAGTTCTAAACATCTGAGCCAAATACTATCGCGACCACCTGATGAGACCGTTGAGCATCGGTCGAGACGCGTCGTGTCATGCTCAAGCAAAATGCAATTCGTCCTGTCTAGAACAAAACAGGAAGTAGTATCGTTTCTTTTCCACTGGAGAAAGTGTATAAAATCCAAGTAGGTCTCCGCGGATAATAAAAGTCAAAAAAATGTTTGACTTCCCGTTAAAAATGGAGTACCCTTGCGGTACTGTATCCCACCACGATGAAGGAGACGAAATACCATTTTTTGCTTGTTTTATTCGACATCTTCTACCTTTTTTTCTACAGAAAAACAGATTATATACCTCTACAATGTAAGAAAGAGCAAGCTTTTGTGATCAAGGATGAGGGTGAGTGTTAATATTCATAGATATAAACATTATTTTCTGCAACAGGTAATGATACAAGTAAACGATAGTTATATTTTGTCGCACGACCCGTTAAATAACTGTACGGTTTCAGATACTTGGCTAGCAATGTAATATTATTGACCGTCATTGAATAAATCACACTCATATCAGATGTTGATGGCGGGAGACAATTCATGGAGTTACTACAACCACATGTATACGAACGTCCACTAGAATCAATTGTAAATTGTGATGAAATTTGTTGTATTGTATTACTACTTCCATTCTGATACGATGTAATAACGAAAGTTGACGAATCTAAATCCGTTGATTGTAAACCAACACCAGGATTTAAAACAAATAATTTCTTATTTAATACGGCACAACCATTTGCTTGATAAAAACCATTAATTTCAAATGCAAATGTACCGTTTGTACGATAATAAACATCAATTGTACTACCCAAAATTTTATATGTTATAAAAATATACTCTTCATTTAAGCATACATTCCACCCGGTTTTATCAAGTCCGATAGTCATATTTAATACAGGACTTAGAATCACCGTACCGTTTTGCAAATACCCGGTACAGACTAGATACTGATTGGCAAAATCAATATCCGAATGACATTGATTAAATAATGGTGTAACAATTGTCTGTTGTTGTGTATAGGTTGTTAAATCATAAATATTAGTAATTGGACTATTATAAAGTGGTATGTAGAGTAATTTTGAACTTAAACGTGGTACAAATGTTTCACTATTCGAAATAATTGCCACTGCTGTTGTTAAATTGTTAACTACATCCGAAAAGATGACGGGTGGACGATATGAGCCAAAACAGAGATGATACGGTTCTTCGTAGCCCACTGGACACACTTGTAAAATAAGAACAGCAGATGAATCATCGGTGGTAGTGAAATTTGGAATAATTTCTCCGACATATGAATATTCGTCGTAGAGACTACACAGAGATAAATTATTGTAATAAGTAGCTGTGCGACATGACAAATCCTGTTGACATGCTAAAGCACAATGCATTAATGATCTGACACCACTTAGATTAGCCAAAAAGTTAGCAAAATAACCTAATTTATAATGGGCGTTTGGTACAATTTTTATATTCATTGTACGCATTGACTGTGGCCCCATATTTTGACCTTCAATTTCTTTTATTATTATTCGAAGAAGAAGATAGATAATTGTTGTTGTTGCAAGATGAGTTAGTCGATCCATCTTCTCTGTTTTTAATAAAATAGAAAAAATATTATTCTTTTTAAATTCACTCATCTTTTGTAACTAGTAATTTCTAATATTTTTATGCTTCCTCATTTCTCTTGTTTTTTCTTTTCTTGACTGAGATTGAAAGTTTTAGTTCATAATTGATGTGTTAAAAGAGGTACGTACAGAGTGCTCTTCGCTCTCGATTGATTGTCATTCGAAGAGGTTTAAAATAAGGCTTTCAAAATACAAAAAAAAGCACATTTTTCGTCTTCTTTTAAGATATAGAACGTTAGTCAAATGCCTCGATACTATGACGTTAAAAAAACATCATGAAAAGCGCGTTTCAGTTTTTTTTAATTTAATTCCTTTTTTTGTTACTGCTGCTGCGGTGACCGACCGATGATAAATCATTCTAAAATCAAATAGACTTTAAATCAAATAGTTTTAGATTACTGCATACTGTTGTCAATAATCATAACATGCCATGCTTCTCTGACAATTGCTTCCTCGCGACACTTGCTCTTCCTCCTCGAATGTAAGATACGAAAAAGCTAAGTAGTATAAAAATCGACCTATTTGTTGTGTTTTTTTCAATCCTTTATGTGTAGTTTAAATTTAACAAGTTAAAACCAGAAGAAGCCGGGTTTTTGAACAATGTTGAATTACGAGAATTTATTTAACTTATTATAGGTGTGACTGGAGCAATGTTAGTCTCATTGGCAAAGAGATCAGTAGTTTTTATTTAATGAGAGGGACACATCTAAAACGACAACGGAAATTCCGATTATTCATTCATAAACTTGTCGAAAAATATCAAATATCCGTCACCACTCGTACCGTTTCTGAATTGGTAAATATGTTTTTTGCAAACTCTTTTTTTTGTGTGCCTTCACTGAGCGTCTTAGGTCGAATCAGAGAACTTTGTGTGAAAGTTCAGTAAGGATGAGCCGATAGCTTTTTTGAGCTTGATACAGCATTTTCAGCTTGTAGTTAAAGTATTTTTGTGCAGTGCCAGATACACACAATTATCTGCATGATTATAAATTTTGCCGAAAAAATGCGACATCGGCGTTATTATATCAAAACAAATCCAAACATAAATAGTTTCAATATTAATATTTCAACCTCTGATTTTTCTATTACAAAATCTGGACCACCACCTGATGTTACAGTTAATTTTTGAAGAAGAACACGATAAGATGATCAAGTGTCTCGACGATGGAACAATCAACGACGAAACAAAATTAGAAATAATATCGACTTTTGATAATCGTCGAGATCTGGTAAAAAATATGACTTTTATTTAATCGATCAATAAAATATACTGAACGATCAATAAAAATGTACCAATAAATAAATGCATTTTTGACCAATAAAAAGACTTAAATAACAATAAGTTAACTAAAGTATCAATAAATATACTAAATCATCAATAAATATACTTAATCATCAATAACTTAACTAATTGAAAATTGATTTAATGTAATTACAAATAATTAATATAAAATGATAATTTATTATATTGAATGATAATCAATTAGAGAAATGTACCAACACACTCAAGAATTGAATGAGATTCAGACGGATATAAAAGTGAACACGTTTCTGGAGTTAGTCAATAAGCGATTTAAAAATTTAAGGTTATAAGCGAATAAATAAGATATTCATTCGTTATGTCCATCACATGTGTGTCATATGGTATTTTTTCTTTTCTTTCAGCCCTTCATCTTCTTTTCTTTTCTCTTTCTTACACTTTGGTTTATTCCTTACATATATTGAATGTGTTCTTCTTCTAAAAACGTAAAATAAAAGATCAAATCAAGTTACATAAACGGTCAAGTTATTGGTTATACAATTAATTCAGTAACACTCAAAATTGCAACCGGCGTGAATTAAAAATATTTATATTATAATGAGAAGAGCTGCTGCTTATCATCGGACTCTTCGGAGTCGGAATCAGAAGTTGTTGGTGTATTGACAAGAACTAAACGTAAATTGGTTTGGGAAAAAATTGCTGCATATTTCAATGATCAAGAGGCAAAAGTCGCTGTCGCAAGTGAAAATACATGGAGTGCATATAATACTAACAACAGTAGTGATGGGAGAAAAGTGTATTATCGTTGTAACAAAGTAAAAATAAAGATGTAAAAATGGGTGAGAAAAGGAAACGTGGTCGCCCTAAAAAGGCTACTAAAGCTTTAATAACAAAATAATTTGAATTATTTGTCCTTGATTATTTATCATTACTCAATATTATAATTGTCAAAATTTACTTCTTTATTTGTTAAAAATAATAAATTATTGTTAAAAAAGTGTTTTGTTTATTGGTCAGATTAAATAAATTATTGGTGATTCAAGCTTTATTTATTTATCATTTTTCATATATTTAATGATCATATTATTTTATTGATCGTTCAGTATTTTTTTATTTATCAATTAAATACAAGCCAAAAAATATCGATCATCAAAAAGATCATTTGTAGAAATGTTTCTGTATTTCAAATATTTTAGTGACAAAACTGTGGTACGATAAGCTTCCTAGCAAAAAGCTGTACAATGCGACGAAGAGAAGTCGAGTAATAGGTCGTGCACGTATCGGCTCTCGTCTTTTTTTGTATTTGTAAGTTATAGAATAGTTGAAACTAAGCGAGAATGGGTAGGTAAGCTTTTTCAAGAAGTTTATACAATAAACGGCAGAAGCAACCTCAGCGAAATCTCAGTTCATCGAAAATGCTTTGTGCATTCTTTCTTCATTTAGATTGTCATGGAATTTGAAGTAATCTGAGAAACGGATGTTGTTGATCAAATCAAATGGAAATGTTGATCAAATTGAAAGTAAAATCACAGCGTTTTTAAATCGTTTAGCTGATTTTTTCGAAGAAGGACGCATCAACCGAAGTAAGATTCAGAAGTCTTAGAGGGGTGTATAATCTATGGAATTTTTCTTTTATTCATATTTCAGTTGACAAAAATTTATACTTTTGGATCAGGTCTCCATCTTAATTAAACCAAGACCATTTCTGATTTATAAAAAGATTTGCTACTTCCGCGTCACTCCGAAGGCAAATAAGTACTCCAAAAGTGAAAGTTAAAGCGAACTAAAGCTATCGCTTACCTCAGGAACTACGCGGAAAAACAGAAAAGTATTTAAAGAATACACATACACGGGAAAAATTTAAAATTTCAATTTATGCTATCTAGAAACGCAAACATTATTGGACACGCTGACAAACGAATCTGTTTGAAAAGCAAAACACAAGATTTTTTCAAATCTTTTGAAATCGAAGGAGCGAGTGTCGCGAGGAACCAATTGTCAGAGGAGCATGTTATGTTATGATTATAGACAACAGCATGCAGTAATCTAAAACTATTTGATTTTAGAATGATTTATCATCGGTCGGTCACAGCAGCAGCAGTAACAAAAAAAGAATTAAATTAAAAGAAACTGAAACGCGCTTTTCATGATGTTTTTTTAACATCATAGTACCGAGGCATTTGACTAACGTTCTATATCTTAAAAGAAGACGAAAAATGTGCTTTTTTTTGTATTTTGAAAGCCTTATTTTAAACCTCTTCGAATGACAATCAATCGAGAGCGAAGAGCACTCTGTACG